CTGAATTACTAAATAGTCCATCAGCCTTAAACTAGTTAATTATTTGTAAGACCAAGCACTCAATATCAATCAATAAAGATCAGCTAGAGAATTCAATTCCAGTATCTGGATTTAATATGAAGCATCAGTTCCCATACCAAAAGTATTACAGCTACTTTTGCTGGAGCAAGAGCTCTCTGTAATCCCAAGTTTGCTCAGAACTGTTATGTCAGGTAACACTTAGTGTAACCAGAGCACACATACACACTGTTAAGCCACATTCTTCCCCCATTTAACCTCACTGGCAATGTAAGGGCACTGCTACAACGTTTTGTCAACATAACAGCTGCTATGTACAGTTGATTAAGGACAGGAAGGCAGCACAACTGGATTTAAAATAAATAATTTTATATGAAATTATTTCATAATATATTTAATTATGAAATTTTTACAAAGCTCCCTCTCCTTCTCTACCACTATGGGTAAATCCTATAGATTCTGGGTAGACTTTGTACCAAAACGAAATATTCACTACACCATACTGAATTGTAGACTAGGTAAGTAACAGAGTCTATCATACTTTTTCAAATCTTGAAAACAACACATATTAGAAGTTTATGCAAACTTATTACATGGTATTGCTTGATGGTGACCTGCGATTTGAGTATCAAATTACATCCCATAGGATTACTGCACCATAGAGGTGCACAGTATTTGCATCTGGTTTTACGTGGCCATTTCACATCAAAGAGCTTTTCTACAATTCTGTGAACAATATGAGCTACTATCACTGCTTGCATAAAAGGTTCCTATTAATTGATCTAAGGGATACACACAATGTATACAAGCATTAATGTTTATGTGAGCTTTCTATCTGGGTTTTTTTGTTAATTAGGCATAAAAAGGATATTTTTCCTTGATGCTACAAACTTATGAAATCCTTTAACTCATTCTGACAGTATGTATATCAGCCACAGTGACCAACAAGCACAATTTCCACAGGTAACTTAAACTCTTTATGCACTACCAATATGAAATTTACATCTACACTGGTAAAAAAAGGCAACAAGGAAAAATGTTAATTAACAAAAATCAGATTATAGATTTGGCTTACAGGCAGAGTACCCAAGAAGACCGGTGAATATATTTTCAGAGAAGACAAACTGGTTTTGTTTTATTTCACCAGGGATTCCTTTACACTCTGAAGTAGGGTGGACACTATTTTCATCTGAACAAATCCGGTTCTGGAGGCTATGCCAAGTTTACCCAGTCTCAAATCAATTTAAATGAGTGCAACATTGTATAATTTTACTGTCATTCTCCCAATCCCTGGATACATAAACAAGATGCTCTGCAATCCAGAGCACAAAGGAAACTAATTGAATGTGGCTTGTAGTAACTAACACTAGGGCAATGCATTTGGTACTAAAAGAATAAAGGGAATAAAACAAGTATCTTAAGGCAGCCCTCTGATAGCCACATCACTTGAACTTTGCTAAAGATAAAAAGTTGCTTGAAAATGTAAAAACATGAGGATGGTGTCACTGACACAGTCAATCAGCAGCTGTTCAAAGACCTTTAATTCAAACCACCTTCAGGTGAAGCTGCAGAGCAAGTGACGTAACTATTTTGTATTTTCTCCAGTTTTAAGTTCTCAGATCTTTTAAAAACCTGAAAGGGTTTGAAACTGTGTGTGAGCTTGTGTGTGCTTTATTACTATTGAGAATTTTTTCAGTTCAGTTAAATGACTTGAAAAGGCTTGAATTAAAAAATTATACACACTAGTAGGCTGTGCTAATACTTGCAAGCTTAAGCACAAACTATCACTCAAGAAACTCCACTAACAACCCTTGACTTCAGTGTCCACATGAAATTCAGTTAAAGGCTTTGCCATTCTTGTTTAATATCCTGTTTATTCCGCTGATGCTCCTATTTCAATCTTTTCTGTGTTAAATAACCTCACAAAGATGCTCCAAGTGGTCAGGGCCTTCTTTTCCTATCAGCCATGTCACCTGTTGAGAGTTCAACTACCTTTCTCCATTAAGAACTTGCATACTTTCCTAGGCATATTCCTCCTAGTGCTACTAAGCATAAATCAGACACTGGACAACATGGAACTTCAAAAAAGTCTGAGTAGTATACCCTTGGTTGTTTGGGTTTTTTGGTTTTTTTTTTCACAGTGATATTTACCCAGGGATTTGTTTTAATTTCAAAAAAAAATCATGCAGACTGAACAAAAGAAAAAACGTATAAAAAGACATGTCAAGTCTCTTTGGTGACATTATGGGTGTTTTCCTCTATAAAATTCCTCTTCCTTGGATAGTAGTAAAAATTAAATCTGTTGGAATGAATACTAGACATCAGAAGAAACTGTTCAAAGAAGATATTCTGAAGATTATCAATTGTCTCACTGTACTTATTGTATAACTCTGCACCATATCCCTCTGCAGTTACATTATACAGGTTTGCAACATCAGCTCTGACTCTAAGTCAGTGTAACAGGATTGTCACACTGCACTGCTCTTTGAAGCACCCTGCTCAAACTCCTCTCCAGTAATAAAATTGCTGCAGTTTCTCTGTACCTAAGTGACCCACTAAAAGCTTCCCCAGATTTATCCTGCATTGTCTAATCAGCCCATTTATTCTGTCCTTGAATCACCAACATTGCACAAGTCAGGCAGGAAAGAATTCTACACAGAAGAATCACATTAAGTTACCAAAACTCTGAAGCACTTTGCCCTCCATTGTGAAGAATCTTCTCTTTAAAATTTGTTTTATAATTTGCATCAAAAATTCTGTTGCAACTTGTATTAAAAACCCTAGCAATTAATTAATGTGTTAATTCATTACTCTATACAACATGAAATGATTTCTCACTCTAAAATCTGGTGCACATTCATTCTTCATATGCGTTTGAAAGTTCCATGACACAATCTTCATAATTAAATTATGAGCTGGAAAGAGAGACAGGAATCAGAATATCACCACAAATGAGGTTTTGTTTAAAGGGCTAGAGCTGTACAGCACTGATGGAAACCTGTTTTGATATATCATACTTGTTTTCCATGACCACTTGATTTGTCAGTTTACAGACTACACTACCACGACAGAGGACTTGCCAATAGGCTGAAGGTTACATACAAGCTATAAGAAGAAAAAAAACTTTTTAGATTTCACACACGTTCCATTTGTCAAGATGATGCCCATCACTGCAAGCTCGTAACACAGACTGTCAGAGAAACCACCAGATCCCGAAGCTGTTGGGAGCCCGAACACACGACTTTGGTACCTGAACGGTAACTTTTCCCTCGCTGCTGTGAACCACCTCTGCGCCGGGAGCTCTGTCACCGCTCCCGGAGGGCACACCGGCCAGCGCCGCGGCAAGCCGGGCACTCGCCAGCCCTTTGTACCGACACCAGGCGTTTCGGAGCCTGTCCGCCTCACGCCAGGAAGGAAGGCAGCGAAGGGAAGGGTGAGGAGCGCAGGCTCCCCCTGTCCCAGGACGGCAGCACAGCCTTTCCCGGGCCGGCCGCCAGCACAGGGGGGCAGCGCGGGCGGGACCCGCACCAGGAGACGCGCGGCGGAGCACGGGCGGCCTGGCGGGACCCGCCGGGGCGGGCGGCGGCAGGGCACGGGCTCCTGCAGGCCCCCCACGGTGATCCCGGCCACCCTCCCGCGACGGCATCGTCCCGGCATTGTCCCGCCCGGCCGCCCCGCCCGCGGGCATTACCTGGCTCCCGCAGCCGCCCGCCCGGCCCCAGGCCCCGAGCGGCGGCCCCGGGCTGCCCGGCTCCTCCGCGCCTGGCAATGGCGGCGGCCCCGCTCCCCCTCCCGCTCCGCGCTCACTGGCTGCGCCGCTTCATGTGACCGAACAAAACCCTCCTCGACACAGCCCTTTGTGTCCCGCCCGGCCGGGGCACCGGGAACGCCGCTCGTCGGCTCGGGGAGGTGGCGAGAGGCGCTTGTGGGGACGGAGAGAGGCGACAAGGCGGAGTGAGAAAGGAAGGGCCGGGGAGGGCAGCGCCTACCGCGGCCGCTCGGCCTCCGCCAAGCCGCCGCCCCGGCCCGGCCCGGCCACTTACCACGGCGCGGGTGGCTGCGGCCGAGCCGCGGTGCCGCACCAGGTCGGAGGCGGCCGCCATGTTCCCGATGCGGCAGGATGGGGCAGAGCCGCCCGCTCCGCCAGCCACCGCTAGGGCGGGCGCCCGGCCCGGCCCGGCCCGATTGGGCTGGCTCCGCTCGGCACCGGCCCGCGCCCCCCGGCCCGCGGGGCCCTGCGCCTCCCGCTCTCCCCCTTCACCCCGCGGCCGGGCGGGGGCGGCGGGGGCGCGATACAAAAAACTAAATCGTAACGGGAAACTCACGGGCTCGCCGGACTGTGCGTCACGCCGGGGTTACGTCCTGCGCGCGCCGCCGTGACGTCATCGCGCAAGTCTACCGACCGCCCCGCCGCTCCGCGCGCAGCTGCACGCACACGCACACACGCGCCCCGCGGCGGGGGAAGGGCGCACGCGCACGGCCTCCCCTCCATTCCCCCGCAGGGAGCGCGCGCCCCTCCCGGTCCCGCGCGCTCTGAGGGAGTGTCCCCCTCCCCGGGCTCGGAAGGAACGTCCCCTTCCCCCGGCCTCGGAGGGAACGTCCCCTTTCCCCGGCCTCGGAGGGAACGTCCCCTTCCCCCGGCCTCGGAGGGAACGTCCCCTTCCCCCGGCCTCGGAGGGAACGTCCCCTTTCCCCGGCCTCGCAGGGAACGTCCCCCTCCCCGGGCTCGGAGGGAACGTCCCCGCGGGCGGCTCCCCAAACGCGGCGGGCGCACAGCGCTGGCTGTGGGCGCGGCCGCCGCCCGGCCTGCGGGTTGCGCTTCCCACAGGCCCTGAGGGCGGCTGAGGTGCGGCAGATCTGCGCCGGGCGCTCCCGAGGCGGCGGAGCGCAGAGGCCGTCTCAGGCTCGGGCTCAGGCTCGGGCTCAGGATCAGGCTCTCAGGCTCATGTTCAGGCTCTCGCTCAGGCTGCTGCGGACGGGGCCGGGGCCGAAGCGCAGCGGGCACTGCCCGGGGCGCGGACGCCACGAGGTGACAAAACCACGTTCGGTGCCATTCTCTCCTCAGACTAACGCTGCTGAAGCGAACCCCGGCTCACAGAAGGAATTCTCCCGGATTCGGGGGGGAATGCCAAGTGTGTAGAGACTGCTTAAATTAGTTAATTTTTTCCCCTCAGACTTGCTGGGCCCGGGGAATTTCACACTCGAGTGAGAAGCTGATAGAGGCAACGTTAGAGGTGTGAGCGGTGGTCAGAGTGCTCAGGGACACAACAGATGTCAGGAGAGAGGAAGAGGTAAAACACGGCACATGTAATTCAAAAGGGGGGAAGAGGTAGAGCCAAGCACTGTCAATCATTCCAGCCTCTATTCCCACACATCTTTAAGTACATGATAGCTAATGAAGTGATAAGTTACAGCCAGCATAGATTTGTCAAATCACATCGAGCCAAACTCATCCTAAGCTGTGACAATAACAGGCCTTGGATGTGAGTAGTGCTTGGTTAGTTATGGCTTGACTTAAGTCAGGTTTTGGACACCATCTCAGAGAAATCTTAATTGAGCAAGCAAAAGACATAATGAAATGACTGCAGCGGTGCAAAATTACATCAGCAACATTTCACTGTGACAAGTAGCAGGACAGCAAATACGGTTCCCTGGAGGCGGGTATGTCATGACTGTGGTCCCAAGTCTCATTACATATGTGACAGAATACAGTTTACATGGATTGGACTTACCAACAATGCCAAACTGGCAGAGCTGGAAGCATGTTACAGCACAAGAAAAGAATTAAAAACCTTCCTGAAAAAATAATTGCAGAAATATGGTGCAATTGAATAAATACAAGTGCCAACTTCAACATTTTAGCAGGAAAATAACAATTGCACAATTGCAAGACTGGGAACAGATGAATAAACACCAGGTTTACAGAAAAGGGGCGGGGGATCAGAGTAAATCACAAACTGAACATGCATCTACAATGTCACACCGTTGTGAAAAAAGCTGCAGTACAGAGAACTGCGTAAACAGAACTGTCATATCTAGGACATAGGAAGAATCCCTCATCTTTAATACTGGTGAAGCCTCATCTGTGTGTTCAGATTTGGCCTCTGCGTTTGAAGAAAAATTTCTTTCAAAAACTTCCAGTAGAAGACAGTACAAGGAAAGGGGGTGGGGGGGGGGAGAAGTCACCATTTTATAAGATGTGACCCTAATTGAAAATAGGAATGTGTGGGATATTTTAGTCTAGAGAATAAAAGACCACAGGCAGAAAAATCCATTGTTCACTGAGTCCACTGCAGACAAGGCTAAACATAACAGCTTTAAATTGTACTGAGAAATTTTAGTTAGACATTAGGAACAGTTCTAATGCGATACAGATAAATAAAACTGGCATATATTCTCAACAGGATCCTGGAAATTGTATTAATATGGTTTTTAATATTAAGTTAAATATCTGTAAGGAAGTATAGAAGCATTTGACTTCTGTGAAGTAATGGAGGCACACTAGCTAATAATTGTTTTCAGCATAATTTTCTGTAGCTGCAGTTACCATCCAGATATCTAGATATCTGTTCTGATGCTATTTTTTTCTGACAAAAGTGAATCCCAGGGGCACTTAAACATTTAATGTGTTGTCATGATCTTATGCACAGGTGTAGATATCCCCTTTGGGAGTCTTTGTCATGTTACAATCAGTATAGCTGTATGGCAACATATGTCACATGCTCAGCTAATTTGCTAATTTATAAACTTTATATATCACTATAAATTCCACATTTAAAAATAATGTGTGTGTTAGTGCACATGTAACCATCATCTATCACAGCTTTTGCTTTTCTTTGCTTTTTCTCCATGGTACCAGAGGCTAATTTTCCCCAAAATCCATTAAATTCAGGGGTTTCTCTGGAGCATGCCAGTCAGGAGAAGGCAGTGTTGAGTGGTTTATGTTGCAGGACTGAGACCCACCAAACTCAACTCATTAGAGATGACTAAAAGGCCATTAAATAGGCCAATTTTCAATCTCCACTGAGTTAGACTGAATTCAAACTGATAGCCCACAGGCAAAAGGCTATGAATTTCATTAACAGTACCCCAAAGCATTCAGTCCCCTAATGAGTGCTAATATTATTCTTCTGAGAATTAAGCTTATTTTCTGAAAATATACATTTATAAAATCGAGTTCTAATTATTTTGGAGCTTGTAAGGACAGTTTTTCCACTGCTCTTATGCAAAAGAAACAATATCATCTTGTGCAATCCACAGATTCCTTCTAAGATTCTTATATCATATGTGCTCCATGCTAACCAAAATACAAACAATAAAAATGTGAAAAAGCAAATATTAATACTACTATGCTTCTGTCTGAAACACATCTATTTTATTGCATGCAATAATTTTAAGGTCATTACACTTAATTTAAATATATTTTGTCCCATAGAAGGTAAGATTTAAGGAACAGCAATTACTGCTTCAATTCTGCAATTAATAACTGAAAGAAATCATCAAATTCCATAAAAGTATTAAGTTACAGAAAATGCAGTATTTTATTACATTTCACATCTATTTGTGAACAAGTAAAATGCTTAGCTTAAGGAAACCTGAACTTCAGTTCTAATGCTGCCAAATCCCACGATTTATTAATAGTTTAAAGATATCTAGCAATTTTTTAATCTCTCAACCTAATTCTTTTACTAAGAGGCCAAATTCCATTAGGACTAGTGAATTTTTAAAAATGCTTATGATTCACATAATCAGTGGATCAAAAAAATCCACATTTGGTGTGAATGAATAAAGAACATAAATGCAATATTTCATTAAAATGGCACTGTGGTAAAAGATTATGTCCAGTGGTGTCAGAAGTCTTTTTTGATTTTTAATTCCACTTCTGTTGCCATTTATAGTATGTGAAAAGCAGTATATTAGCTTAAAGGCTGCATGATGGATTAAGAAGACTTGAGAAATAGACACAGAATGACACAAAATTGGGATTGCATGTCTGCACAAAATAGAAACTTTAGGACCAGTGAAGCATTCTAATGTCAGTAAAAGAACATGTATGGCCAGTAAAGAACCACACAATAGGATCTTGAAAATCAAGCCACATACTGCACAGCTGGCTTTCTATTTGCAGGAATTCTGGCTGTGTCCTGTATTATTTCTCCATCAATGCAGACAAGGCCTAATAATGGTTAAAACAGCATTTGAAAATCTCTTGAGAGACTGATGCTCCTAGTTCCTCCTGATCTTCAACATGGCTATAAAAAGCTTAAACCAAGGCAGGTTCTTTCAAGTTAGCAGCAAAGTATGATTAACTGGAACCAATTTAGAAACTGTTTCTTCATATAAACATTTTTGTAGCTGAAGCTGCAGAGGGAGAGTTGGAAAATGTTTAAGCTGAAGCATTTTGAATGAAAAAAGACTGCAAATGCCTCCTTGTAACACATAGCAAAATCCCAAATGCCTGGAGGGAAAAACTTTTTAATGATAATTTCTTACATTTATATAGCACCTTTAATTCCCTAGGACCCCAAGCACTTCATTAACTCTATGCAAAAAGCTTCACCATGGAAATATAGCCACTATATGCATCATTCCTTGAAAATTTCATATTCACTTGACATATATTCTGGTTATCCTGTGTACAGCAAACAAAACAACGGCAGATAAAATATTAAGCTATATAATTTTGAGTTATAGAATATTTTAAGGCTGTACAGTTTACAAAATGCTATCATGTAATGGATAAATCACATTTGGCCCATTAATTTTCATTCTCCATTTACTATTTCAATCTCATCTTTAGCCCTTGGTAGAAAATTTTGTCTTTCATAACACTTTCAAAATTAAAATGATTCTTGATGTCTGAATTTCAGACAAAAATTGTCTCTATAGGAAAAAGTAACATCTTTTATGAAATACACTACTACAGTCGGAAAAAGTAGAGTTTTTGAGTACCTGAGATATAGCGATGGGATGTTTTTTTTAAGGTGAGATGGTTGTACTAATAAAATCCCTTATCTTTACGTATAAAGTTTGTCTTGTCTTTGCCTCTAGACCCTTGTAACTACAAAAACAAGCATACAGAAACAAGATCTGAAAGATATTTGTGTTTCATTGCTCAACTTGCCACAGAGTTTTTCTTTACACTCTTCAGAGATGTTTTTGTTTTCTTGCCTTTCTTACAATGAAATTATGCTGATTTCACTAATATCCACGAATTTAGGAACTCAATGTACTGGTTGTTTCAACAAACAGTAATCAATATTATTTCAGTTGAAATATTAGAAGAACTAGTAAAAGAATTATTTGGAGCAGTTTGATTTATTTCAACATCGTGAAAACAGAAAGGGGGAAGGTGACTTTTCCTAATATTTTTTTTTTGCTGCTTGAGCTGTTGATTCATGTCTTGCTGGCTTGTTTCACAGGCCCTTTTGAGATACAGTTATCAATGTTAATTAAAGAGGATAGTCTCGTCTATTTTTCAGACAGAACAAAAAATGTATTTTATTAATAAATTTAATCTCTGCCATAATTCAAAATATTCTAGTAATCTTTGTCAATATGAATTAAACTTTTAAAATTACCAGTAAAATAACAAGAGAGTGGTAAGAGCATATAGGTAAAATTAAAACCATTAACCCTATGTCTCTCTTAACAGTGATCTCAAGATAAGGTTAGTGCTGAAATAAAGTATTTTGCAATAGAAGGGTGTTTAGACAGTGTGCCTAGGGAAACATTACTGCTTGGCACTGTGGATTGCCTTTAGAACTGTCCTACTGTTGTGTATGTTTGAAATCTCAAGAAGATTGCTCAGATTACATAATAAAGACAATTGCCACTGTTTTCTCACTGCTCAGCTTCTGTCCACAGGCAATGGTAGGAAAATTTCCGTGCTTGTTGCTCAGACCTGCTCCCCTTGGCTAGGCCTGTGCCTGCAATTACAGACCAGCTTTTGTCAGGACAGCAGCTCCTTCCCAGCTTCCCACAGTCGTCTCCTGTTCTCGGTCTCACCACTATGCAGTGTTCCTGTCATCTGCCACCGATCACAGGGGAGCAGCTGCTGGGGCAGCACTGCCTGCCTGGCACACCAGGCTCCATTCTTAGCTGTTCCACAGGTAAACATTATCAATTACAAATCCTGGATTAATTATCAATAGTCATTAATTAACCTTAGCCCTTATGCTCATTTTATTTCATCAGGGGGTATTCTAATTCATCCTCCATTAAAAAGACAATAGCTAAGCCTAAATCTGTGTTCCTTTCAGGAGGATCTGCCATCTCTCTTCTCATATCTGAGTTACTGAGCTCAAGCCTCACGGAATTCAAAGAAAGTAATTCGCAAGAAAGCAGATCAGTGTAGGAAAATACCACCATACATTATAACACTGACCTTCTTAAAAACTATGTATTGCCTTGGAGAGTTGCCATTTGCATCACACACAGGAAGCATTAATATATGAAAATATGCTACGAGCAACGAAACCATAACAGGTTGCTTCCTGAATCTGTTAATTATAATTTAGTGTGAGAGGAAGAAAGCAGTGAAAGCAGTGGCAATAAACTGGCCTTCAATAGATGATGGAAAAGGACCTATATCTAATAGGTATAAATTATCATAGCTCTGCTTAACTGATGATTCAGTTCATATTAGTGCCAAAAGGATACACAGTGAGAAGACAGAAATAATAATTTTAAGATCCTTGTTTCAAGTGTCACACTGGTAGCCTTAACATCCCTCTGCAGAGGTCACAACATGAATTAATCCAGCCCCTACAGCTACGGGCCACGTGCCGGACCTTTGCCACAACTGTGCTATGCTGGCAGAGTGCTAGTGACCAGAGGGAAACTGCACTAGGCCTAGACTGTCACCTTCTGTCTCCTTCAAGGTGTGTCACCCCACTTCCCAAACCCACCTCTGTGACTAGCATCAGGGTCACACCAGTGGCTGCAGCACATATTAGAGACCAGAGCAATGTCAAAGTGGAAAATTAGTGACAAGAATCCTTTCAGGCACACTCCATCTCCAAAGCTGTGATTTTTCTATGTCCAGTGAGGGACACAGGTGGCACAACATAGGGAAGTCACCTCCCTCAGACAAAGGGAGGTGACTATTGCAACACCCTCCCCAAAAAGAAAAGGCTTTGCTAGCCAACCCCCACCACTTCCGTGCTTCAAAGACATCTGGCCAGATGGAACCCAGGACAAAGATCCAAGTGAAGACATCTTCACCAAAACCCTTTGCCTTAACAAGCAAGTTCCATATGTTTTAGCAGCACTTGAAAAATGAACATTGTCTCTCAGTCATCAAAATCATTGCCAGGCAGGATTTCAAACTGCCTTCTTTTCCCTGCAACTTCCTACTCCTCTGCCTGGTAGGCAATTGCTACATCAGCAATTTTGATTTCTCTCACCATTCCATGGACATACACACCTTCCTGTCCTTATGCTTGACACAATTACAAAAAGCTTTATTATTGTAAAGTGCTAGAGATTTGTGCATGGGAAGACACAGCAATCACTTTTAAAGAAGTAAAGAAAGCAAAAAAATCATTTTACTACTATTAATGTGGAAGTACTGTGGATCTTATTTTGTGTTTAGGTAAGATCACAACAGTAGAAAGTCTGTTTGATATGCCATGCTTTCTGTTTGTTTCTTAATTGTAAGGAGTTTGGTTTTGATCAAGACAATTAATTATGAATATACCTGAGTTTTCTAACATGAGGGATAATGCTTTAAAAAAACTACAAAAGCTTTTTTAGACTATATTGTAGTGTATGGATAAATATATATCTTCAGGGCATAAAATTCAATTTGTAATTGAATCCTGAAAAGAAGAGGGGGGAAAAAACTACATAAAATTGTGATAGTTCTACAGTCTTAGAGTTAATATGCAATTTTGAAAAATTACTTATTAAATTTTGTGGTTGTACAGAATCAGTATATGGCATAGTTTGTTAACAAAAAAGACAAGACCAAGGTACAGCCTAGGGTCATTTTAATGTCAGCACTGTTACCCAGTGACTTTTTCCTTTCCAACCTCCCTGCCAATCCCTTTTTATGCCAAAGGAAGAGGAACATCTCTTAGCTCCTCGCTTTGACCCACATCCATTACCACTCATCTGCTAAAAAAGTACCTTCAGTGCAATGATCAAAAGCTATATTAAAACTTTTGCTTCTCTCTTGTCCATCCAGTATTTCCATATCACATCCCACTTAAACTCTCAGGTGAATTATTTTGAACAGCAGTTCACGTGCCATTATCTCATCCAGGAAATGCACTCAGGTTTGGGATTTGCAGGCAGATCTTGTATTATACCACTGGTATAATACTGGTTTTAATAATTACTGGCTTTAGTGTGAAGCTCATATGAACATGAAGTGTCTCATTATAAGCTCATTGAAATTACTGCAAAGACTTTAATAAGCTTTCAACCAGGCTCTGGTTGAAATTCTAACACTAATTTTCCTACTAACCAAAATCAAAGTATTTAAAATAACTGTAAAATAGTTATTTCAGTATCCTGGAATGCATGCTGAGTAGTAGTTTCTCAGACAAAATAATGAGTGAGGAAACTTAAAAGAACAGTCATGTTCAGTTTTAGAATTTGTCCCAGTTTCACGGGCCTTGGCTCTGGGTTCCAATAAAGTGTGTGGAAAGGGACTCAGATAAAGCTTTGGAAGTGTATTTTTAGGTAGATTGTGCAGATAATTCATAGAGTAAAAATGGGGTATCTGTAAAAGCAGAAATCGTCAGCAGAGTAGTGCAATTTTGGGAATTTCAGCAGAAGAAGCTGTATCTGAGCACTCAGGAAGCACCCAGATGTGTCTATTAGTGTTTCAAATGTGTCCCTCTAATTCCATCCCAAACATATTAGAATTTCTTCTTAAGACATTATGTGTGAATTGTCATTCAAATATACCTCTAGCTTTTACTTACTACATTTATATTGTACTCTAAAACAGCATAGAAGTTTTTACTTAATCTGCACAAAAGAGAACACTGATTTTGAATTTTAACAGAAGGCAGATAATGGCAGTTTAATATTTCATGTAGCTGTCTTAATCAGCAAGTCATTTAACCCAATCCATGTAGGAGAATACTTTTAAAAAGATCCCATTTACAAATAAGCAATAACCATGATTTGTCACATTTCTTCAATTATGCTTTCCAAAAGAGGAGGGTGTCATCTCATTTGTGATAGTTTTAGGAAGCAGAGCTCTCCACAGTGACTGTTAAAATAGCACATGCTGGGGAAAACAGTGCTTATTAGGATTAATTTAAGACAATGGGTACTCACTAAGCCTGAATTGTATATGATCACTTCCACCATTAATGCAGTTTATCTCATCCTTCTTAAAAGAAATAATTCTATATTGAGAATTCCTTTTTTTTCCCTGACAGAGCTGACAGATTTAAATCTCAGGCCCAAGGGAGGAGAGAGTGGCTCAAGGCACACAGCCCTCCTGTGCTGCAGCAGGACAGTGAAGAGGGCAGTTCAGGCCAGCAAGGGCTACAAGGAACAGTGACAGCCCATCCTTTCAGGAGTTTGAAGTAGTAGGTTGTGGAAAATTAATGATGCCTCACTGTCAAAACTTGTGTTGATCAAACAGCTCTGCAGAGAGCAGAGAGGCTGAAAACCCCCTGTGAGAACACATCCCACTTGTGCTGCACAGGACCCAGAAACAGGAGATCACAGAGCTTCATAGCAGTGCAGGGAGCTGATACCTGGTGTTAACAAGAGGCCCAGGATGGAAACAAAGGTGAGCATTCAGGACACAGAGCCACCATTCTAACCCCAGGGGTATGTGAACTCGGGCTCCTTTGTACTTCTTCGGCCACAAAGGGTCACTGTGAAGTACAGCCTGGGGCAGCAGCAATTTGGGGAGCTCCTAAATGCAGAGAGGTTGGGAATCAAGGTAGGGCAACCACAACATGTGCCCAGGGGCTGGCTCATAGGCACCTCTATCCCATAGCAGCAGGATACCACGTGAAGCCTTTCCAGAACTCACATGACAGCACCCAAATACCACGTACAACCCACAACCTACACCCCCCTACCTTTATGTTAAAAACCTCATCCATGCCCAGCCTTCTGATGCTGCTGCAGTAGCCAGCTGCTGCCCTCCCTGGGATGGTGAGCACCTCTGTGGTCCCTCAGTCCATTCTGAGATGACCGCTCAGGTTTTCACTTCAGAAACAAAGCCTGTAGTGCTCTGTCCTTTTGCTTTGCAATCAATTTAGAGGAGGGGTCACTTTTCCTTCCGAGAAGGAAGACAGCTGATCCTCCTCTGGGTTAAGAGATGCAGAAAAGGCTTGGCTTGTAGGTGTGGCCTCCCAAAAGTAGAAGACGACTGTGAAAACCCCCAAGTATTTGCAGATGGCAGCCCAGGGCCAGGTGGAGGGGTGATGAAAAACACATCACTGTCAAGCAGAGGGCCTATGGCCAGCTGGTGCTGAACAAGTGTGGGTAGGTGTGGCACACATACAGGTGCAGAGCTGCAGTGTAAAATCAGTGTAAAATCCTGCTCTGTTGGACAGGTATGGGGTGCTTCAGGGAAAGTCACTTAGTGGAGATGATCCAGATTCTATGCATGCTGGGGGGAAACTGAGAAGGTTTCTGAGTAATTTTCCTGTAGCATGCCAGCTGGAGCACTCCCAGGGAGTCCCAGAGGGCACATGATGCTCAGGCAACACAGTCTTAATGGCAACAGGAGCACTTTTACTGGACAGAAGGACAAAACTATTTGGCCTGCTTACATCTGGCAGTTCTTTTGTTCTGAGAAGATGAGGATATTTTACTTGCAGGGAAGGGAGGCTGACTGAACAGGTCCCATTTCTCAGCAGAAGCAGGAAAATTAAATGGCTTGGGGAGTACCCCAATGGAAATGTCATGTGTGTGATTACCTGTGCAACTAAAAGGAAAAATAACCTAATATAAAATGTAGTATGTATCAACTACATTTTAAACTTAACTCAATTTAAAATGCCTCCTAGCTATGGGATCTCAAAAAAACCCCACGAACTCAAGCCCTGAGTTTCATTTAATTTAGAAATTAAAATTTTGATTTTTTTTTTTATACTGGGCTGTGTTTGAAAAGAGACTAGAAAATGGAACTCCCATAAAAGAACTTGTAGAAGACCCTAAAATTTCTCCTTATTTTATATTTTACTTCAATGGAACTTTAAGTGTAAGAAGACTGGCCTGGTCCAGATTTGATAATTATTTTCCAAAGCCTGGGAGACTTGCAGGAGTGCCTGTGCTTTACATTCTGCTTCATGGGAATGTTATTTTGATTTTTATTTTACTAGTATTTAAAAGCACTCACTAGAAGTTCCTGCAGCTGTTTGGCTGCATAATAACAGACAGCCTCTAATTCCTCATGCATGGCACTCAGCATGGTATAATCAGGAAAAAGGCCCCAAACCTGTTCCTGCATTCTAAGAAGTGTGTGTGTCACTTTGTAGGAGATCAGAATCCTGTCCAAATTCTGCAAAATCTAACAGAACAACAGTTGCCAAATGACAAAACCTATCAGAAGACACAGAGTAAAAAGGCACATCTTTGTTTCTGATCCTCACAGCGCCAGTACTGGTAAGAGAAACATCAAGGTTTCCAAAATAAAGCCAGTTAACCACCGTAACTGCTATTAAATATAAACAAAGGCATAAAGTAGGGTCCTTGGAAGCCAGTATACAATGTTTGAAACAGTAGCTATGTATACAATTACTACTTTGTTAACATTATGTACTCCTCGAGCTGAGCATCCACTGCCTGTGTTGGGAACACAGGCCCAGACCTCTGGAACCTGCAGCAGGAATCCCAAGAGCAAAATATCTGTGCAGCCACACTGTGGAGTGGTGGGAGAAGAACAGGGACTGCAGAGAGCTGCAGCTTCTTCCCCTTTACTGTCAGGCAGGACACATTGCACAAGAAAGCAGCAAGTCCTTCTCCCCAGTAACTCCCCTCATCTTAGTAAAGGCCAGCAAGACAAATTCATGACAGCAGCTAGTTGTTTTAAAGGCTCTGCCACTGTGGTAGCAAGAAAGTACTGGCAGCCTGAACCAGGTAAAAGTACTTGGAAAATAACATAACAGTGAGAACTCAATGGGTATTGATTAGTATGTTAAAAATACAGCCATTTTTCTTGCATTGATGCAAAACCTGTATCCATTTAATTTAACTAGTAAAGAAATGGATGCAGTGGAATCAACATGTAGACAAAATGCAGGGGGTAAAATGACATTGTAGGGGTCTATTCAATACCTACAATTTCAGCAGACTTGTTTTCTGCAGGTAAATGCTGGTAGAATCTGAGCACAGCCTATAATGATCCAGATTCTGGATGTGAGGAACATTACTCTGATTCACTATCCACTGGAGTACAAGCTGGTCTTTTGGGGAAGAAGATTCCAAACAGAATTGTTTGTGCAGAATTGGACTGAACTGCTGTCCAAGACATGGCTGTTAATTGGAGTATTCCTGGTGCTTCAGTATTACAAAAAAAATTACACTAAAATAATTAATTGATGTCATTAAACTGCTGTAGCACTGAACACGTATTGCACTCAAACATACTGAACGTTGACAATTTATTATTTCAGCTTTTATGACAACACCTCTGTGGAAATATTTCTGCAAAATCTGTAAGATATAGGAAGGGGAAGTCTGCACACTATAAAGTGCCACAGAACTGAAGACTTGTCAAAACAAAATGAGCTATAAAAACAATAATATTCAAGCAACATCACTCTCATTAAACACCTAATGATGCCACAGGCATATTAGTGGGGAAATGCTCATGAGACTCATGAAGAATTAGGAGAAAAAAAAATAATAAAACCCCTTCTCCTAAAACCACTTGCCAAGCTGTTTGTACATTCTGCCGGAGGCAGTTTCTTGAAAAAGATGGAGATGTGAATGGAGACAGGCAGTGACTATTAGATGCTGATGATGGTGAGGACAAGCAGAACTGGTGCTAGAGATTAAGGGCTGCATTTTGCTTTCAGTTGTCTCGCCTGTCCCAGCATTTCATGGTATTTAAATGAATCTGTTACATAAGGCATTTCTCCTGTCTACTCTGCTCAGCAGCCATATTCTCCTTACTGGTATGGATTGTCTTGGGAAACTTGCCAAGCTGTGACAGAGCAGTACATAAAAGGAAATCATGCTCATAAGCTGGGGGTGGGGAGAGCTGCAGGTGAACAGATTCAGTGCAGCAATCTGTATACACTCTCCTGCATCAGAAACTGAGGGTCTAAATGAAAGGGGAGCCACAGTCCTGCTTTTAAAAAGTGCATAGGGCTGAAAAAGATCCCAAACATCCCATTCATTTGCTCCAGAGAGGGTGTGAGTGGTGAGCATAGTGGAGCAGAATTGCTCAAGACTTCACTGGCTGCTGCTTTGGCAGATTGGAAGAACAAATAAGTACTTCCTCTTAAGATGCCAAAACAGCCACGTCCAGTTTTGGAGCACATTCATGATACACAACACCTCCTTTACACTAAGGAAGGTGCTAGATCTTTTAATTAAAGACAGAGGGAGACATAGGTGGACACTGCCTCTTGTAGGAGTAAGTTATTACCTGCCTGCCAGGACCTGTCTGCAAGATTTGGCATTTCCTATAGAATCTAGGGAATGCACTCCTTATCAATAGTCAAACTCTCAGGTTTTTCATCTCTATACCTCAAAATGCTTTATAAAGGAGATCATTACCAACAAAGGAATGCAGACATCTACATTTGAGCTTTGGCATGGAAAGTGTCGCAGTTCACCTGTAAAGCAGATTTGGCAGCTCAGCTTTACTCTGGCCACCTGCCCTGGAAACAATTAAATTACTGGGAGCGGGTGCAAGGATTCGTAGCTGAAGTTCAGTAACACAAATACGTACAGCAGATAAGGCAACCCTACACAGTGTTGTGCCTGCCTGGAAGATGTGGATGTAAAGGAGACTCTCAGCTTGAAGTCTGCAACACTGCAGCAATCCCCAGGCATCTCCAGATCACATTCATTACTACAAAGTACTTCTGTGGATTACTACACTGAATACTTTTAACTGTTCCATCCCTGACAAAGATTTACTGTCCTTTCACCATCTTCACTTGTTATAGTAAAAGACAGGTAAAGAAATGTGTTTGAGCTGATAAATTTTTTGGCAGTTTTGCACTGAACACAGACTAGGGTTTTTTATCTTAATGACCTGCAGCTGAAACAGATGTTTTGCTTTAGTGTTTTAAAGCACTTCACAAAACTTAACACTAATTTATTATTTCACAGTGCATGGTGGGGGGAGGGGGAAAAGCTTGATATCGCTACTCACATAACAGAACAATGTGAGAAATGGAAACAGATGTGTCTCATTTAAGCATGAATAAGAAGGAAGTGCAAGATTAAGAGAAATACCATGGCTTGGTTAAGTCAAGACAACTTATGGATCTCCAGTGAGTCCTGAAAGATCTTCCTAACAACTTGGTCCCTGACTCAGCAGGCAAATGGAAGTGCTTAACTCCAGCTGTGGAGGTTGTCTCACATGATTCATTTATAATACTTTTAAAAGCTGTATAGTCAAATGAATGCTTTACAGTAAGGAGTTGAGGGATCAATGGCATTGTTCCTGAAGATAGTCAAGCACTTACTGTTTTCATGAACTTGCAGACATCAGAATTTGAGTATTAGAATAGAAATAAAATCAAACTCAAAATACAGTTTTCCTGAAACATGAGTGCTTTGATTTTTTGCAGCACAGAGAGAGAATTGCAAGATCCATAAACAGCAGCCAGGGATCTGCTGAGAGCTCCAGCCTTCCCCCTAAGGGGTGCAGGTCCTGGCAACAGGGATCTGATCTGCTTTGGCAACTTCCTGTCACCAGAGACTGTCCCTGCAGAAAGAAAGGTCCAATTTCAGCTGCAGGGCCTTTTCCTTAAAAAATCTTTTGTACACCTTCAGTGACATGAGTTTTACTGAGGGAAATGAAACCCTTTAACAATTCACCACTGAGAAAAAAATTACTTGCAGGGACGCACTGAACCTGAGCAAGGGGTGTATATAACAGTGCCCCTCTATTTGTGTGTCTAGTGGGATGTGGGTGCAGACAAGAATCCATCTTTCTTTGTTGGTACTAATTTTGTCTTAAGCCTGCCTTGGACAGTGAAGGATCAGACAAGTTTGTTCCCTCCCTCCCTCTTTCCAGAATAAAACCCAGGCCACGAAATGTGTCCTTGTCCCAGAGGCATTGCCATGGCTCCCAAGAGCCTCCAAGGTGCCCTAGGGCTCTCACCACTGTCAAAGGCAGGACAACCCCACCTGTGCTCGCAGCCAGGAGTGAGGTGCAAAGATTTCTTCCACTGCAGGAGATACTCCTGCTATTTCCATTTCATCAAATGCCTGCTCAGACAGTTTTCACCCTTTGTTACCCCAGAGCAAATGATCCTCTTTCCAGCCTAACTGAATTACTTTTGGTTCATCTGCAACTGCATGTCCTTCCCCAACTGGAAGAAGTGTAGCTACTCCTGATGTTCCCAATAGGGAAGAAAAGCAAAATAAATGTTCAGATTCCCCATTAATTACAGCACTGTTAAAAAAATTAAATCTTTTGGTTTCTAGACTGTACCAGTTTATTAGGAGCCATTCGGTAGAAACATGGAGCAGTATAAAATTCCTTTAATAAAGGAATTCTTAGAAGGAAAATTTTAAAATAAGGCTTCAAATATTATTGTTTGACTTTTAAGGACAACATTTCAGTTCTAGGAAACTGCCATTTTCTGCTGAGCATTTTTAATAAGAAAATAATATTTCTTAATTTGTCACTGATTTCAGCACAGTTGCTGAGAGAGATTTGGCCCTGTGTGCAGTTCACAGACTGTGCATGCAGAATTAATACTCTCGTTAACATTACTATATGCAAATGCTCCCAGGATGCAAAGAGAGATTTGTATTTCAGATTAATATTTTATGGGAGTTTTGTGTGTACATGATAAATGAATAAATGGAGGGACACAAGGGGACATGAAGAACATGTGCATCATGTGTGAGAACTGCATTAATTCTTAAATGTTTGCAATGGCCACAAGATGGTTAAGGAACAAAAAAGATTTATTATTGCAATTACATAGGCGGAGAGAATAAGGGAAGAAAAATGAGAGATCAAGGGAGTTGTTTCATATTACAGTTTCTCCAGCTGCAGAGCTGGCTTCAGAGGTTCTCCAGACCCATCTGCCCCCACCCTTTCTACCCTGTCTGCAGATCACCATGCCATTAATTCTGCCAATTCAACTATCTGCATGATCAAGCTTTAAACCAGCTCTTAATTACAACATGGAATCACACTCTTCATTTACTTGGTCTCTTCTTCTTTTCCATACTAAGGGCCAGTACCACAAAAAATCTCAGCACTAATACAGTGCTGTGGATATGAAAAAATAGGCAGAAGAGATCTCTGAATTGGCAGGTCAAAAAGGAAAGTTATGTGGAAAAGCTGTCCCTGATTTCCTGTTGTTTCAGCTTCTGGGTCACCCCTTCTCTACCACTTCAGTTGTCCTTATTCCACTGAAGCTTTATTGCTACTCTAGAATGACATGAAGCTCCCTCACACTTTAACTATAAGAAATGTAATATTGTATTTGTCCAAAAACCTACATGAGTAAAAGAAGATCCCTGAGGGGATATTATTAACTGCCTGCTACTTATCATTGATGGTTATTCTCTGAGACAACTCTCCTGTTTAATCTTTATGCTCTCAACAATAACCCTTCTCTCTTTTTGATCAAGTGTTTAATTTTCTTGAAAGATTTTCTCTGACTTTAGTTATTATTGAAGGGGATTTTAATTTTACCCCAACTCTTTAATGGCTAAATCTTGCATATCCACTATTTCAAATAGTGGTATTTCAGTTACTCTAAGTAAATAGTTCAAGGATTTGGTCTTGATAGGTAGCTGGAAAATTTCAAATCAAAACAAAATTGAAATTGCAGTTTCTTTTCCACTTTACAATAGCATTTTTTGTCTCCCTGAATGACCTGTCAGTGTATTGGAATAAGAAATGGATACTGCTAGACTGCTACAGAGCATACTCCCATGTCAGCACAGTTTCATCAGCAAGAGTGGCAGCCCTGTATGAGAAATCAGTTAGCTGGTTATTTCATCTGCAGCTGATCAAAGATAAACAAGATAAAAAAGACAAACAAAGGAAAACAGTGATGTAGAATGTATTCTTACTTTCCTAGCCTCCAAATGCAAAAAATACAAGAAAAATAAAGGGGAAAAAAAAACCCAAACCAAAACCAAAAGAGGTTCAGGAGAAAGTAAAGCCCAGAAACCCTTGAAACTTTCTTACTGCCCCTTCTAACAAGTATTCTCAATCCTTCCCCATTGTCACTGCATTCCACAGCACAGTTTCAGTCCAGATCATTGGTAAATATCTAATAATATAACAGTTACATTTAGAGAAGCCCACTGAGCATGGAAATACTGCACCATAGGACTAAGAAGTCTTTTTTGGGAGGTTTGTTTTGTTTTGTTATCCTGGGTACTCCTGTTTCAAATGACCTTGTTGTCTGACATAATTAGTTTACAACGTTCTCCTGTTCCTGGACCCAGTAAATTATTAAGGGCCCATGATTTTGTCCATATTCCCAATATTGGTTCATTGTCTTCTCTTGTCAGATCTGGACATCTGAGAATGGAACCATAGAGCCTCAGTCTGCTCCCACCCA